TATATATATGTATGTGTATACATATAAGTGTGTGTGTGTGTGTGTGTGTGTGTGTGTGTGTGTGTGTGTGTGTGTGTGTGTGTGTGTGTGTGTGTGTGTGTGTGTGTGTGTGTGTATGTGTGTGTATGTGTGTGTGTGTGTGCGTTAGCGGGTTGCTATTAGCCTCACCCTTCTGCCACCATAACAATTAACCAGAAACCCCGCCCCAGGGAAAGAAGTTATTTGAAAACTCCATCTCAATTCGCCAATGAACGGGATAACGAGATGGCATCGCAAGATAAGCGATATCAAGCGACGTCGAATTAGAAAGGGGGAATGATACTCGTGGGACATTGCACATTTTAATTTACGCGAAGGCAAAGAGTCGACTCAAAAAGTTCCCATATTGGCCGAATCGAGTCTTACGCAACGAATCGGAGTGGGATAAAGCGAGACGAATTATTACCACTGCTACTGTTTTTTTCCGATTATTGGTGAATTTAGTGACGAGTCTGCTCTGTTTAACGATTGATTTGAAAGATAGAGCCCGTTAAAATTACTTTCCTCTGCTGAATGGTATTTTCTTTTACTGTTTTCTCTTTCTAGATTATTTTTCATTTGTATTTCATTAACGGTTTCATTTAATGGATCCATGTCACTTCAGCGTTCGAATGTGTTAATTTTAGCTTCGAGTGGTCAAATGGAATCTTAGGAAGATTTGCTCAGCGGAACGAGTAATTGAAAAGCGGGAGAGAAAAATGGAGAGAGAGAGAGAGAGGGGGGAAGAGTGAAAAAGAAGAAAAAAAGGGTGAGGAAAAAGAGAGAGAGAGAGAAAAAAAAATGAAATACAGAAAGGGGGAAAGGGAGATTAATTAGTTAACGTGCCATGTCACTACTCAGAGGATGCTCTCGACCGAAAATTCTCTTATTCACTTACTGTTTCCTCTCTCCACCTACCTATCAATCCATCAGGTAATCAAAAGACAAACAATTCGAGTTTCTTTCCCTTAGGACAAACAGCACCACTTTAACCTACCTCTTTCGTGGCGTCATCGAGTTGCTAAACGGGAAATTAATAATCATACCGTTTATTAAGTTCCATGATACCTTGTGCGACGCCTTCGATGCTGCGGAAGAGGAATAACTTTGGCGACTAAGCGAGTGTTTCGGACGCCATGTTGTGTAAATAAAGTCCTTGACTGGTTAAAGGTTTGTTAGGCTTTGGTTTGATTGGTGGATTTTCGGGGAGAAGTATGATTATCTATAACCAGCGGACTCTTGTGGCAAGATTGCACATCTATTGATTTCTGGATATTTGCTGTCTATCCAAGAGAGAAAGAGAGAGAAAAAGAATGAAAGAAAGAGAGAGAGAGAGAGAGAAAGAGAGAGAGACAGAGAGACAGAGACAGAGGATCTGTAGCTTCATTCCTTATTGTTAATAAAATATATATATATATATATATATATATATATATATATATATATATATATATATATATATATATACATATATATGTATATATACATATATATATATATATATATATATATATATATATATATATATATATACATATATATATATACATATATATATATATATATATATATATATATATATATATATATATATATATATATATATATATATATGACAGGAAAAACAAGAGAAACAGGAAGAAAAGTAATAGGAAAATGAAAAAGTAAGACACACACAGGGAATAAAGAGTAGAAGAAAAAAGCCGACAACGAAAAGGGAAAAGACAATAATATACCAGTAATAAGAAAAGCAAGAGGTGGCCCGCGCCGCCAGTACCACTTCCGCTAGAGCTCATTTGCATATTATTAAACGCAGTCGACAAAGTGGCGTGGCAACGTGCGAGGCGGTCATTCACTCCTGGGATGGTTAATAAAGTGATGAATTATTCAATTATAAATATAAAACGTGTTTTGCTTAATGGACATCCCACTTTTCATTTTTATGAAGGTAAATGGTTTAACTCGGTTCAGACTTGATTTTTTGCCCACGAGATTTTGACTAAGTTGAACATGCTGCCGTGAAGGCTGGCCCGTGTTTTTGCGAATCGACAGTACGTCCGTTAAGGGAAACACACATACGCATATGTGTGTGTGTAACGAGCACAAGGGATGTGAATTTAGAATGACCCAAAATTCGTCTAGAAACCACTCTGTGTATACCTCGCTTAGTCTTTATGCATATGTATTATTTAAGTATACCTCAGTTTTTAGCTTTAACCATGTGAGAAAAAGGTACTTTATTATTTTCCTAGAAAGATGATATTTTATTTTAATAGTTTTACATGAAATTTTATATATTTCAATATTATATTTTTCTAAGATAAGAAAATTGTAAAATATGATAGTTTACCCTACAAAGTATAAGCTTTTTTTGTTACCCCCACCATACATTCTCTTTTTTAAAGGGTACGCTATTATATTTCAATAGTATTATTATATTAAGGTTGAATAATTGATATTTTTGTAAAGAAAACAATATATATTATTTTTGACAATGGAAGAATTCTTTTAAGTTCTGAAAATTATGCATGTATTGATTGAGAAGAACTGTAATATATGTGATCTGAGTAGACTTTAAAGTTCAAAGTATATACAGTGCTAAATCCTGAAAACATAGCTATATTCATAGAGAGAGAGATCGAGATCAGAGAGAAGTGCCATACAACAGCCTGAAAGAGTATTTGATTATCGTGAAATATCCGAGGTAAGAAAGAAAATTCCACTAAAACTATATAATTAATAAAGTCATGAAATACTGTATAATTGATTTACAGAATAAAAGAAAGTAACTATTTGAGATTAAACTGAAAATTAGAGATAAAGAGTATGTCTTCTTCACAGCTCAGGCTGGCACATGGCACATGGCTCTTGAACAACATCCGATGTGTCTCTCTTATTTATAAGAATTTAAAACCCATTCAAAGAGTAAGTATTCTTAGCATTTATAATTATATAATATTATAACGATCTGAGTAATATATTATCGTAAAATTTGATTAAATATAATCAAATTTTACGATAATATATTACTCAGATCGTATATAATGACATAAATATTATATATATAATTTGTTTGTTTGTAAGAAATATTGTTTTTCATCTTTCAAGATATGATTTACTTATATTTAATAACTTTATATTGTTTATCATTCCTAAACTAGAATAATTGTTTCTTTTCTAGGAATGTTTTTTTTTTATTATTATTATTTTTTTTTTTTGTATAGTTTATTTGGTTCTGCTGAAGTTGTGATTTATTCGTCCCTGGTGCTGTGAACAAGAATGGAAGAGCCCAGGATATTGATGAAGACAAGGAAAGAAGATACCTGAGAAGAACAAATAGTGTAAAAGTGACAGGTTGGGATATAAATCCTTGGACAATTTTTGTAGATGAAAGTTTATTTTACTGTAGAAGTGTAATGATCTTTGACCCAATATATCCTCAACAATTGTAAGTTCATTAAGTGGTTTGATATTACTCCCTTCTCTCAGTTACCCCTAAGGTTGAAGTTAGATCATAAGTAACCTTTATGAATATATATATATATATATATATATTTTAGTGTGGGTTCTAAAGAGTACTTTTGGAGAAACCACACATTTGTATTAACAGATAGTGCCCCTCTGGATAAAGTCTGAGTGGTTCCCAGAGCAAAGAGAAGTAATAAG